GGAGTTTTCACAAACTCTTCAGGGATTTTCTTTGATGTAATTTTAAACGTTTTCCCATGACCCGCATCGGCAAAACTAAGATTGCAATTGATTATAATCGGTATTCATACAGATTTCTTAATAGTAATAATCGTTTGTGTGTCACCCAATTAGACACTAAAATGGATAATAAAGGATAGGTATTTTATAAAGTCCAGAAAAATCAAGTATATAATCTTTGATAAAAAAACGCAAATTAACAATCGTTTGTGTGAAGTAATAATCGTTTGTGTGTCACCCAATTAGACACTAAAATGGATAATATAGGATAGGTATTTTATAAAGTCCAGAAAAATCAAGTATATAATCTTTGGTAAAAAAACGCAGAATCTGTATAGAAACTGCATTTTCTACGGACCCAAAAAATTGGTTATATTGTCTAAAACTGGATTATGTTGCTACCAATTGATTTTCGACTCTTAGAAGCATGCAGTTTGAAAAATCAAAATAAACTAGTCAAAATAAACCAAAATTTGGTCTCGACCGTCTGGATACATAAAAAAAAATTTGGTTACGGTAATCTTTTCATGAAACCTCAACCTTGTCCCAGGAACAACATAAAGTAAATACACTGATGTTGGCTAAAATCATAATTTGAAATTCAGGCAACTGCTGCTACGACCAAACAACAACCTACATTGTGTATGGATTACAAAATAAACGGATGGGCCCTCTGCAGTACATGAGGAAACTAACGGATTACTGGAATGAAGATAAGCCACTCAACTACATTGCGGTATGGATCATTATCAGTATCAAAACCACCATTAGAAAAGTTCATTTTTGTTCCTTCGCACTTTTTAACTTGATTAATAGCTGTTTTAAGAATCAAATTTTGAATGATGATTGGTTTCGCAGCTTTTTCACTGAAGTAATTCAATTAGAATTTGTTGATATTTCCTTACACTTTCTCATAATTGATCACCATTAGTTTTATTAGTTACAGATTGTTGCGTTTTAGGCCTACTATTCGCCAATTCATTGCTCAAACATTATTTTTTCTCTCGGCTTTGGACCTGGAGACCTTAAACGAGACCCTCACGGTGACTTTTTAAGGGGAGCAGCCTACTCAATTCCAGGATTGCATGCAGATTCTAAAGCAGGCATTCCCGGCATACCCTCTGTCGCTTTCAATTACCACAACCCTGGAGCTCAACTGACGTTCCAGTGGTTTAAACATCACATTATGTGTCAGGACCACCCCTGGATATGTGGAGAAGAGCCTCCAGACAGATACTCGAGTGACAGGTCAGCCTCAGACATGATAGTACATGATAATGAGCAGTCGCCAGGGTCCAAACGTCTAAGAGATCAAGGAGATTCCAGTGGCACAGGGTCCGCTACTAAGCGCCGCCCAAGGTAGAGCTGAATAAAAAACAGAAATTCATTGGGAAATATAGAAAAACTCTGATCTTAGAAACCCATATCAACAATGGAATAATTTCGAAAGCTTTGCAAAAACTGTTTAAAAATTTCAATGATTTGAAGCAATGTAATTTGAATGCTACGAAAGTTAGCTGCAACTCAAACTTTTTGAACTTTCGTGAATTGATTTTGACTGTAACACTAACTAAATTTGATAATTTAACTATGCTATCGCGAATGAATCTCTTTAGAAAAAAAAACAAAAAAGAACGTTAACAGTCTTTTTTGCCAATTCTTTAAACTTTCAAAACCCTTTCCGAATTTCGTTAAAAAATAGTAGGGCTAAAGATCAAATAATTTAACATTGTATGATTGAAAACCCAACTAATTTTAACCAATGAGAGGACGCTAACTCATAGAGCAAATTCAGACAAAGTACCGACACCACCTGATCTTCGCTATCTACTTTCGGCCGAAAAGCTTAATTAATGGATCGTGCAGCTCCTTATTTTAATACAGATTTTAAGCCTACTTTCATTTCGTTAGTCTCAAAAGATCAAGAAGAATAGGCACTTAGCACTCTTAGAGGCACTTAGCACAGTGGTAAGGCGTTCACTTTGAAATCGTCAGATCGTGTATTCGATCCCATGCCATGGCAATGATAGTGTGTGAGGACGAGCTCTCACTTGACCTCTAGCTTCAGGTCTACCACAGCCTGACCAAATTTGGCTGCAGTAGTGGTACCACGTGAAAGTTCTAGTCGAAAAAAAACGGCCTTGAGTCGCACAAAAAGAGCTTCGCTCAGCAAAATAACACTGTCTGGAATGTGGGGAGATAATAAAAAATGGACTATCCTCGACAGGACTGAAGCTGCCCTTAGCAAGTTTGAAGGTGCCGTGAAAAACAAATTTTTACGGTAGTTGGGGTAAGATGGGTTTTTGAGCAGTCTCCGGACGTTCTTAAACGGTGGGTCAAGTCAGCAGTGAGAGCAGATTGGGAGGGTTTTCTAAACAACAATAAGATTCTTTTTAACACTTTTTATGGTTTTGATAATTGAGTAGTTTTTGTTATTGTTTTATAATTGATCAAAAGGTTTTAATTAGGATCGAAAAGATCAAGTTATTTTGTTCCGGTCATCTATAGGTGGGCTGTCCTTATACATGAACTTTTTTGTGGCGTTAGAAAGCGATGGTTGCTGTTGGTTGCTATTCATTTGGATTTAACTAAACTCGTTTCCAACCAACTGAAAGCTTACATTGTTTATAATTATTATCAGACCCCCTTGTTTTCCCATGAATCGATCATGCTCGACTCATGTATCAACCCGGGTTGACTCACAAATCAACCTTGGTTGGCTCACCCGTCGCAAAAAAAAACTTTAATTCTAAAGAGAAGTGCTTTCAATCTAAATATCTGTCCGGAAATTTCTAAAGCAAGGATTGTCTTAAAACTCTTTATTTCTCATCGTAATTCTGATCAGAAATTAGATAAATCTAGGCTATTTCTAGCTAGAAAAAAAATATCTTAGTTCTGGGTAAGATATCCGTGCTTGTTAGGAGACAGCTTAAACGTCAGGTTCCGCAAGAACAAAATACCATACAAAAAATTAAGACCAAGAAAAAATCTCGGATGACTAACAAATTCGCATCAAAATTTTTGAAAAAATCACAATGATAGTGAAGGGAGGCTGAGAGCGCAGAAGCGATACTCATGCAAGAACAGTATCAATGTTGCAAACCACCCTTCGATACCAGAAGAACAAATATTTTGCCTGCGGAGTTCAACAGTTTTGTTGAAAATTGTTTATAATTTTGTAAGCTTTGATAAGTCTGTAATACGGAACAGTAGACTCATTTTACGCAAAAAAATTAATCAAATGAAAAAAAATGATTGACTTAAACGAGCCCTTGCCCAAAGTAGAAACAGAAAGTAAAGCAATTGGGTCTCCAGATCGTCACGTCTAACTGTGGGTTAAGTCTCGCGGCGAAGAGGGAAGACAAGGCAATAAAATGTCAAAGTAAAAATGATCTGAAAAAACTTGAGAATATTGTGATAAGGGGAAAATTGTGAGAAAGTTGTGAGAGAGAATGCAACTGATCAAAAATATCTCTCAATAGTAAAAAAAGTAATGCTGCCCAAAATTAAGCCTTGAGAGCATCTGCTTCTTATGTCCAATCAGGAGTTGAATCGTTAAACTTTGAGTTGTAAATGACAAGTTGAACTAAAAAAAACGTTTGTTTCTTGAACTGAACATATTTTCTATGTACCTGATTTTTATTACAACTGGGAACCTGCAAATAAGAGCAAAAAGGAAAACATTCATTTTATTTACTTTTTTCTGTTTTGATAGTTTTTCTTTCTATTTTGGTTTTCTGAATTTCTTCAGTATTTGTTTTAGTTTTTATTGTGATTTGCTTCCTAAATGGCAGTGAAGCAAACCTTCTTCAAATCACTACTCGGTTAATATATTGGAGCGTCCTATGTCCACGCTGGTTAAGATTACGCAAACAGCTCTGACTTGTTTTTGATTACGCAACCAAAAGGTCAGAGCAGGGGACCTTCAAAACGACTTTTCGGTGCAATGTAATTGCGAGGAATTTATTTTAATCAAATTGTGTCTCATGCATTTTCCTATTTTAAATTTTTTATTTCGTCAAAATTTACTGTTAACCAACGAGCAGCCAGCTAAAAAAAAGCTGGAAAAAACATTTATTTAACAGCAATTTTTTTTGTCTGTAAATGCGAAAAATGTGTACATTTTAGTTTTAACTTAATTTTAATTATTTATTTTAGATTACTACACAAGCAGAAAAAGAAAATCTTAGAAGCCGTTGCTAGAAATTATTTCTTTGACAGGATAAATAAAGACTCATAAGGGGTAAGGAAGTATGTGTTGAAGCAGCGTTTTATTAAAAAAAATAAGATCGCTTCGAAAACTTTTCAGGGGCTTAAAGTTTTGGTTGAGCGATTAAACGCACTGCAAAAAACAACGAGATGCCGAACAGAATCTTGGTTGAAGAAATCAAATAATTATCATGTTTCGTTTCCATGATTATCAACTTTTAGTTGACTGTTCTAGAGAAAACGAGGAGGCGGAGTAGGTATAAATGTCAAAAAAGTAATCAAGAAGAAATTAACTGATAACAATATCTTAATTCTGAGCATTAAATTTCTGAAAAAAAAACATTGAAAAAACCTCATACTTTTGTGTGTGGGAAAACAGTCATATCGATTTTTGCTCGAAAATGTTGAAACGTATCTATGCAATGTCAAATAAACAAACTTTAAAAAACTTTCAAAAGTTGTCGGTCGAGAAAGTCGAAACAAATAGAATTTTGGACGAAAAAATCGAAGCAAATCTATGCGGGGTCAAACAATGTCGAACAGTTTCTTTGTTGGTTCGACAAAGTCAAAACATGCCAGACTTTGGCCGAGAAAGTCGAAACATACCGAAATTTGTTCGAGAAAGTCAAGACATGCCAATGGTTGGTCGAGAAAATCGTGTCATACACAATCGAGCACCTCGAATCGGGTATGCAATTCAAGTCACGGATTTCGATAATTATAATCTAACTATCGAACAGACCAATGAGATGTGTGGAATACGTGCATTTAGAGACAACGCTTATGTGAGTTAATCAGAAGATCAAAAACGGTTGATATTATAAACTCATTGTTTTTCTTATGGTAATTAATAGAACATCAGCAGATCACTACGTCTGAAAAAGTCTTTTTCGAAATCTATAGAGGTGAAAACAACAGAAACAAACAAAAATTTTGAAAAAAAAACAAGACTGCTCGTAACAGCGAAAGCCATGAACGCTCCGACTGCCCTTTAATTACTCTCGGAAAACTTTTGGTAAATTCAAAATTGGCAAAGTTATGAAGTTTAGGATAATAATAACAAAAATATGTGTAGCAATTTGAGTTGCGTATTTGAGATTTTCTATAGTGCTTCTATAGTGATTTGCACACCCGGCTGCCCGCATGCAGATCGAGAGATCGCACCCCCGAGGGATAAGAATATTGCAAAATTGGTCTGAATAAATAAATCCACCCCAAGCATATATATTCCTCACTTTCTTCGAAAGTCGAACAAAATTCTTATAAACAGTTTGATGTAGTGATAGCTAGGTTCCGATCTAAAATTTCAAATATAGCTCATTTTTCACATTTTATCTCATAAGGGGAATAAGAAGATCATAAAGTCTTTTACGAGTACTCTAAAACTTTTGATAAGCAGATTTTAAGGATCAAACTTATAATTTTCAGATTTTTTTGTGCTGTATTGTAAGCTCTTATCAATTTCCAGGTCTATCCTCAATTTTCTATAAAATTATCTTCCTATAAAAATTTTCGCAATCTTATAAATTCTTATAAGATTTGCAGGAAACTTCCGCTATCTAACAATTTTCTCTCAAGAAAACTTTAAGATAGCAACTATTTCCACAAATTCGAAAGAAAAATTGCCAAAAACATATTGAATGTGTTTCTATAGCGCCGTAATATCAGATAAAAATCAATTCTAGAGAATATTCAAATCTTTTTTCAAAATCGTTTTCTTTCTAATGCATGTCCTAGTTATATGTAGTTAGCGGTTCCAAAATATTCTGAAAAAAATAAAAAATCAACTGCGACGAATCATGTCATTTACCTGCTGGCGTGTTGTACGAGCGGTTCAGGTATATATCGACAAACTTTCTAGTTATAGGCAAAAAACTAACACTATTAAGTTAGTGGGTTTTTCAGTATATTCACGTAGCGAAACGATTTTTTTGGGGTACGAGTTTCTGTTTTTGTACTCTGCGACAGTGGAGGACCTTCAAATAGGTTTGAAGAAAGTTTTTGAAAATTATACATGAAAAAAAAAGAATTCCCTATCTTGTAACATGTTTTGAGTCTAATTTTTTAGAAAGAAATGTAAGATTTTTAGAAGAAAGCTTCTAAGATAGCGACATTTGGTAAACCCGGCCTATCAAAACTCCCACCAGGGAAGGACTATTTTAAAAGAATTATTTGCAGCCCTTAAATTTCAGTTTCGTTTTCTCAGTGTTTAATATCAAGTTTATGATTTCCAAAACTGAACTTCTATGTTTCAAGGTTTTGTTCAAGTTGTTCGGACGGTTCGAATTCCGAATTATTTTTTTTCACGCTCAAATGTTGAAATATGAACTTTCTTTGTTTCAAGTTTAAA